GGGGGGGGGGGGGGGGGGGGGGGGGGCGGGGCTCGGGGTGCGGGGTGGTGGGGGTGCGGGGGAGGCAAGGGTGGGGTTGCGGGGGTCGGGGCACCGACGGGGGTGTTTTGGGGTGGGCTGTGGTGGGGCACCCCCGCGGCGGGGGTCCGGGGGTCAAACCCCTACCCCGGCTTTGCCCCCGGGGGCCCCCGCCTGACAACCTTGGCGTTCACCATCACAGTTAAGTGCACATTCGCTGTAGCGCCCGTAGGCACAGATGGGACATACTGCATCTGGATGCAGAGGATGTTCACAATCCGGATACAAGTGGCATCCCTGCCGATAGCGGGCCCGAAAAATTATATGGTTGTAGTGATATCGACAAAGTCGATGCTTTCCACAACCAAGTGTAACTGTGTCAGTGATCTCACAAAGAAGGAGGTCACAAGGTGTTAGTGCAGCATGCGGGGGAATGAAGACCAAAGCAGGCACGGTGACAGACATGGAGGTAGGCACAGAGACAGACACAGAAACGGGCATGGAGACGGACACAGAAACGGGCATGGAGACAGAGACAGAAACGGGCATGGAGACAGGTGCGGAGGCAGGCACAGAGACAGGTGCAGAGGCGGGGACGAAAGTACACGAGGTATCTATAGGGTCAGTAATTTGGAAGGAGACAGACATAGAAACAGGCACAGAGACAGGTACGGAGGCAGGCACAGAGATAGATGTAGAGGCGAGCATGGAAGTACACGAGCTACCCATAACGTCAATGACCTAAAGCAGTTGCAGGTCAGGGTAATTACACACGAGATCACAGATGGCAGTAATAGTTTGCGCATCATAGCACCGCCATTCCATAATTCCCAAGAACCAGAGGCACATACAAGAGCGGTGTAGTGGCCAGGAGTATGTAGAATATAGGCACAAACGTGCGAACAGTGGTCTGGGTCGCCACCCGAAGGGGCACGCTGCATATCAAGCCGGTGCCTTATCAAAGCAGTCTCCAAAACAGAGACATTGAATCCCCCATGTTGAGTGTAATTACTATACCGTGGGGGATGCAGAGCCGGGTTATCGCCATATAACTCACGTTCCTGAGCATCAAGATCGGAAGCAATGGCCAATAAATCAGAGTGAGTATATGGTTCCCGACGATAGGCTTGTAGGCAGATGTTAGTAGCAGCGAGGCCACACAGATTCAGTGGAGGCCGGTCAGGCGGATTTTCTAGAGAATCTCCTACAGTCCCCTTGCCAAGTTCATCCTCAGATGGTCCCTCGCCATCATCCCTCCCGTTTTGTGTTTGCCGCGTTGCAGAAAGGTCTGCAGTGGAAGAGCGTTGCATGCGTGGTAAGGATGCTTGGGGCGACAAAAGACGGGGACGGGATGTTGGGGAGGGCCGTGGTGGGGAGAATGAACGGTTTCTTCTTCGTCCAAGAACAGTGATGGAGGAAAGGGGAGTAAGTTGAGGTTGGGAAGTAGGTCGAAGTCGGCGTCTAGGACAACGAAGTACGCTTTCTGCAAGGGCAGAACATGATGACGGAGTCTGTGTGGACGAAGTGGTTTTTGGATTAGGAAGAGGGGTAACGTATGGAGACAAAACCAGGGGAGGTAGGAGCGGTGAAGACAGGGGTGGTAAAATAGTTGGAAGGTGGGTAACAGACAACGATAAAACCAGGGGAAATAAAGGCGGTGAAGACGGGGGGGGTGAAGTCAGGGGTGGTGAAATGCCTGAAGCAGAGACAGGGGGGGCAATCGTAGGTGAGACCCGAAGAGGGGACTCTGCAGGTGGTAATGCAGGCATGGCCATGAATGCCATGGAGGAACGCACCGAGACCAAGGGCGACGCAACAGATGCGGTGGTCACAGATGCCATGGAGGAACACACCGAGACCAAGGGCGACACAACGGTTGCGGTGGCCACGGATGCCATGGAGGAACACACTGAGACCAAGGGCGGCACAACAGCTGTGGGTCGAGTAGCTCCCGCAGAATCAATCGTAGAAGCAACCAAGGCCGATGAGGAAGTGGCTACGAACCGAAAAGGGGCAGTCAGGGTCACAAACGACATGGAAGGGGTTACTAAGATTGATGCGGACGCAGGTGCGGCAGACGCAGGTAATGAAGAAGAGGTTGTGATAGGTGTGACAGACGCTGATAATGAAGAAGGGGTTGTGACTGGCGTAGTCCGAGGATAGTGTGTAAATACCCGAGAAAGCGGGTGATGAATAGACCATCGAAGCATGCTGCGGAACCAACTGGAGAGGCGGGTCACATGCGCAAGGTACCTGTGTTGACGTTTACGAATATAGGAAGTCCATCCTTTCGCAAGCATTGTTAAAGAGTGCCCACGAAAAAGCATGCAGAGTGTGAGCATCGCTGCTGCAGTTTTGAAATCATACCAGTTGTTGCAGACATACTCAAACCTAGTAAGCTGGCCTGTAAACACTCCCGCCGGCTGGTGTGCATGGACGTTAGATGCAGCACTAGGATAACGAATAACAGGGAAATTCCATTCAGCTGCTTTGTCAAAGACACTCGTACGCAGGGAGCCGTCATGGCGGATTTGGAGGCGTGCACCCAAGAATGTGCAAGAGCCATCAGGCGTTGTGGTCTCCTTCCATTCGAGGCCATAGTGCTCTSAYGGTGGTGGCATATGTCCCCATGAGAGAACATCATCGATCAAGCGGTATGGTAACTCATACCGTTGAGCTGCGCGAAGATCACGCCGCTGGAGGTCATCAACAAATTGAGCCTTATCCCAATACAACGTCAAATTAGCTATCTCCGGACCAGAATTAGTCCCCATCGGGATGCCAATCAACTGATGTCGCAAGGTGTCGTCCGCTGCATAAAGATAAGTGTTTGTGACAATGAAATGGAGATGTTCAGGAAATTGGGAAACGGTCAAGGTGTTCGGTCCGGTATCAACCGTCCACTCCCCTTGACGGGGCCCTTTAACAATCATGTTAAGGATAGGAGGATGTGTGCGCCCCTGTGTGTGCTGTTGTAAGATATATGTATAGGCTTCCTCGACCGCTTTTGAAACATTATGACAAATACAGTCATGAGGAAGATTGGTATACATAGTTGTGAAATCAACAGTGCGAGGAGCATGGTCACGAAGAGAAGAGGAGTTACGTTTGAGATCAAGCACCACCTCCTCAGCGCTTTGCACGATCCAGCACCGTCTCACACCGCTTTGCTGATACAACAGATTATCCTTCTCACGGAGAGATTCAATGACTCCTTATAGTGCAACGCTGAGGCGGGCAGAAGTGACGGTAGTACTGACCAAGAGTGGGGAGGTCGATGGTGGACTGCATGAACAAATGGCGCGGTTGATCGAGATCGTTGCAGCAGGGAGAGATTATTCCGCTCTGTGACGCCGACAATACTGCGAAGCCCAGGGGGCGATTTGTGCGCTTTAAGTGCATAGTACAGATATGGCAGCGTGTCTTTGTGTGTATATCCCCACCGATGATTCCAGAGCGCGTGATGTTCCAAAATATCTGCGACAGATTCAAGAGGCACATCATAGGTAGGGCTGTCCAAATGAGCAAATAGATGACACATGTACCAATTTTTACAACAGATTGCTAAGTTATGTGAGGTCTTGTCGACAGGAACAATAACAAAGTGTTGTTGAAGGTGTCTCAAAGCCCTGTGCRCTGAGTGAAGAGAGTGCGGTTGTCGTGTAGTAATATGGGGGGATGAGATGTTGCTTTGGCAACGTGTGAGAACAGCTGAGCGCCACTGCTGCAATTTGCTCAGAGCGGCCGACCGAAGCTGCTCGGAGACCGACCTCAGGTATTTAGCAATATACTCGTCAAGGCCGACTCTAACAGCCTGAAGCACATCAACGATTTGTCCATTAAGACGATACTTCGAGCCTTCATGGAACAAGTCGCGGAGGCGATCATCATGAATGCTATCGCAGTCGGCTGTAACAACATGGCCGTCGACTAAGTGTGAGCAGTCAGGAAACACTTTCCGACATTGAAAGTCTGAGGGGTCAGGCAGGGAGATCCCAGGTGTGACGCTGAGCGCAACTTCCGTGAAATTAAAGAATTGGACGCGAGTTGGCGGCAACAACTTATCACAGATACGCAGGTGTGCTGCGGCATCAGGGTCAAGGTGCAAGTGCAGCACCTGGGGTGCATGCAGGGCTTGTCGCAGCCTCGTTACCTGATACACCTCATGCATGTGCACAATTTTAATATGATCAAGGAAGGCATCTCGAGACCGAGCTGTGTATCGCTGGCGGACATGTTGATACTTCTGAATCAGGCATTCAAGCTGACGGATATGCGCAGTCATATTTGCATTGGAGATATTATTGCTCAACCACTGCAGCAAGCGGGCACGCCAAACTGACGTTGCTTGCTGGATGACAAATTCCATTTGTTGCGAATTGCCAGCAGCAACCTGTGAGAAAAGATTGTGCAATGCAGACCCTTGAAAGGCGGGGCCTGGACGCAAATCAATAGGTTGGGGCTGTTGATGGTCTGATGGACGAGGGCCTGTCTGTGTCCACCGATGAGAACGACGTTGTCGTCTTCTTGCAGGCAGGCGAGCAAGCGGTAGGACAACGTTGAGACCAGTTGGATGAAGAGTCCGCAACCGGCGTACCCAATAGGCTTCCCGTGTCGTAGCAGCCCGTCGAAGAAGGTTACGGTCAACAAGACCTTGCGGTGTATGGTAAAGGGCCGGGTCAATACGTTCCAAGGGCCAGACTGCAAAATTGAAGGGGTTTTGACAAGACATGACACTATAGAGCCGGCGACGCCGRAACTCCGCAGCAGAACGACGAACATGCCAATGTTCCTGCAAACGTTGATGCGAGGAGTGCRTAGTCTGACCTATGTAAAGACGCCCAGAGGGGATATGAACGATGGCATAGATCACTCCCTGGACAAAGAGAGGGTCCATACCTGATTGCAGTGCCTGCTAATCAATGCCTCTCAGCTGCAATTCGAAACGCTCTGTTTGAATCGCCGTGTTAAGTTGTTGCAACTGCCTCTTGCGCCAAGTGCCTGCAGAGTAGAGGTCAGTATTCCAGCGAAGGTGCCGAATCCAATCAACACAACGTGTGGAATCAGCGTGTAGATGAGGTTGGGCGGAAAAAGCAGAGAATAGTCGATGATTATTATGAGAAACTATACCTAAAGTAGTGTCGACAGAAAATCTTCCAAGAATTCCCTGATCCACCGTGTCTAATGCAGTGTCAACAAGAAATCTACCAAGGATTCCCTGACCTATGTTGCCTGGAACTATGCCTACCATGCCAGTAGTAGGAAACTTCACGAGAATCCCCTGATTAATCCTTTGTGTTGAATTCATTTGTTTAAAAGTAACGTTTATTTTTTTGAAATTTTTTATTTTTTGGTAAGAGGAGACGAAGAGGTGCACAGAAAGGCAGGGTTTTAGGCCCCGCGGCCAGTTCGGGAACTGACCCTGCCGCCGTCCTGTTCGTATAGTATTCACCATTAGCAGTGAGCCAACAGAATGTTGGTTCATGTATGACTCTGCATCCCCCGGTGAGTGTGCCGTGATCCAATGTGATCCTAGTGCTCACAGCCTTGCACCGACAGACCAACAGTGTCAGTTCATCAAAAGCAAGCCAACCTGTAGGCTTTATTAATGTGTGAGGATTACACGAAAGAGTGCGATGCGAAGAGGTGAGATGGGCATGGGGGCTGCCACCCGGGTTTGGCTAACCTTAGGTGGGCCGTAACTATACCCACTACACGGAAAAGGGTTACAACCTGTGTCCTTGCAGTGACTGCTACCACAGTCCTTATGTGCACAATACCTTGAACAATATCAAAACCGTAGCACCAAGCAACGTACCAGATCAAACACCTAACAGGGCTAGTATTGTTCAAGCATAAAGAAAATAATAACATAGTAGCAGGTTATCAGAGAGCCCGCCGAATGAAATACAGCCCATGAAAGGATTTAGGAAGCAATGAGAGAACAGGGGGCACTGGCGTTCAGGACGGGCCGAACGCCCGAACCCGAACGCCCGAACGTACTCGGCCGTTCGGGCTTAACGCAGACCCAAAAAAAAAAAAAAAAAAAAAAAAACCGTCATCCAAAAAAATCTGAAAAAAAGATATGTTATGGAGAAAAATAAATTAAACAAGAGTTGCCTGAGCAGTACATCCGAATTGCTTACCAAATTTGAAATAAAAATAAAATACGGAAAACAAATACTAAAAAGAAAAAAAAAGAATTAAATTTAGTGAGTGCGCGAGCATGTTTTCAACACCGCCATCTTTGGCGAGTTTTCATTTTCTTTTGGCATAGCGAAATGCCCTGAAAATTTACAAATGTGTACTTTACATAATACAAAACCCACTAAAAAAGTTTCAGAAAGTAATAAAATTGTTTAGACCCCGAACTAAAGTGAAAACAAAAAGTAAAAAGTGAAAAACTACGTGGGTGAGCACGTTTTGACACGGCCATCTTTGGCGATTTTTAATTCTTATTTGGCTTAGCCAAATGACTTGAAATTTTACAGGCATGTACCTCACGTCATAGAGAACTCACAAAAAAGAATGCAAAAAACAATAATTATTTTTAGGCCCCGAAACATTTTTTGGCGGGGGCCGAACGCCGTCGGGTTCAGACCCCGTACGGGGACCCGGAACGCCTGTACGTACGGAGGTCTGGCCGGGGACCTCCGTACGTACGGGCTGGTGACCCTGTTTGTGACGATATATATATATATATATATTTGCCTTTTTGCATTCCAAACTTGAGCCATGACTGAAGTGCCATGTTTTTTAGCGTTTTTTTGCCTTTTCCCAGCAGCCGTTGTTTCAGGAAAAAAGATCTGTATTTCAGCTGATTTCCCGTTTGCACAGTATATGCCCTCGCCACTCCGGAGAGTGCGGTCCTTGAATGTCACGTCTTCCTCGCTGGGAGACGAGAATTTCAAGGAAATGGTTGTCTTCCTTGAAACTCAAGGATGAGTCCTAGAAATGTTTTCACAACTGTCGAGATTCGTTTTCAGAGATTTGTCATTGGGATGGTGTGGAATGATGAAAAATGGCATCCTCAAGAATGTTCTAGATGTGTCAAACAACCCCCTGCCAGACAGGTGCTGGTTGAGGGACCTCTCGATTTACCACACACAATGAATGTGCAGGTTAACTCCATCGATGATGAATCGTTGATGATTCTGCTGGTCGGAAGACCAACGAGGGCTGGGAGATACCACCTGCATCAATGCCGGGTGGGAATGAGAAGGCCAACCATAATCTCAACCACAAGTTCCACAACATAATAATTATCGTACATAATAAAGTCTTGCCTATCGACTGCTGGGCAGGCAGACTTGTGACCACAATTCCAAAATCAACAGTAAAAAATAGTAATGAATTTACGGGGCGCCGGCAAGTTCGACAACCAGTTGATTTTTTTTGTTCTTTTTATTAGAAACGGCGACAGCCTTGAGATATCGGTGTTGAACTGAACAGCCCCTATCTTATTCTGTTCATCTGATTACACCCAGATTCGAACCTTGGTCGGTATTTCAACAGCTCATAGGTGTACCAACTGAGCTAAGCCCGTTGGTTCCTCTAGAATACCTCAAGTTATTTCAAACTTTTCTTCCAGACCACCGTGCCCACTGCGTGAAGCAAAGCAAAATTGCTGCTGATCAGTTCATTTTCCGCCCAGCCCTGGACGTCCCAACTGTCTCAGCTTTAGGCCTACCATATGCCTGGCAGCTGAACCGACCAGCAGCAGCACCCCACGCGCATTTTCACAAGCCCCCCTGGAGCTGCCTGGCAGTTGAAAGGCCATTGTGTTTATGCAGAGCTGCATAGCTGCATAGCTCATTAAAAAACAACAAGCCAAGAGCATTCGATATATAACTCGATAGCAGTTGATATATAACCAGATAGGTATTACCTTCTCCCCAAACACAATAGGAATTTCAACTTTCAATTTCATATTTAACACACAGAAGTCAACAGCTCCGTCATTATACCCCTGTTCCCCTCCTACTGTGGCCTTCTTCATTTTTTGTTTCTAATTTTAGCGGATGTCCTGAATGCCCTCTCTTCTTCCCTCGAACACCACCCATTCTTCAAAACGATCAAAAATACATTGGTGCTTTGAGAACTGACAGTGTCAAGAACTGAGCAGAAAGGCTGCCAGTCAGGCAGCGCACAACAGCTGCAATGCGGAGCTGCAATGTGGAGCCTGTGGGGCAGTGTGGCCTTCCTCCCAAGATCACGAGATCAAAAGAAGGGGGCTCATGAGGTCCCACAGTCTTCCACTTACCTGCTCATGGTAAGTCACTATGGACAGAAGATTACAGGGACCAACGACC